GAGAAGGCAGGGGGATGGCTGCTTATAGCAGTGTGTTAGAATTTTGTTTTTTGAGGGAAGGGGTGACTTCGATGGCTACACAGTGAGCAGAAAGGGGGGGGGAGCTAGATTTGAAGGAAGGAAGGTAGCAAGGGGATTTTCAACAGAAAGGGTTGCTTGTTAGGGTAAGTAGGTTAGAAGGACGATGTTGGGACGACATAGGCCGGTGCTGGAGCTTCTGCTTTGTAACCCGCGGGGAGCTTGAGGCCTAGAAAGTTATGCCGAGGGTGGAAGGCATAGCCAAATCGGCCGACGTAGTTGGCGCCAGGGTATTGACCCTGTAACCTGCTTAGGGGTTCGCCGCTAAGGGAATTGTCGAGGGAGGAAGATACTTCCTGTCCGTCAGAGCTAGGTTGATCAGTAATGGGGAGGGTTGTGGTGCCCGATTACCCTAGCAGAAGGCGGTATGAGATCAAGTGAGTTCTGGTACGAGGACTGAAAGCCTGGACCGACACCCCATCTGTTGGAAGGGGGAATCTAGAATAGTAGGCAGATTTAGTCTTGCCCCCTCCGCTCGTATATTTTTCTAAAGTTTTTCGAATGTCCCAAAAAGAGTTGGGTGCTTAGTGGTCCTAGGAATGTTTTTTAGGACTCTAGGATGCCTACTAACTTGTCTTAGGTGTCTTCAATGTTGTTATACTCAGTGATCTGCGGTTGTTCGATGCCAGAACGACGCTGACTGGTGTTGGGGTGTTGCCCTGTAACCTGCGATGCAGGAGCGTGAGGTCTGGTAGAGAGATCTGGGATGTCTTGGGGTGGGCTTTCTATGGGACAACCAAGGATTCCTGCCAGGACGAAGCTGGTCGGAGTTGGGGTGAGTCGCGTTGCCCTGTAACCAGCAGAAAGTGGGGGTGTGAGACCTAGAAAAGATCGGCAGGGAGTACAACAGTTTTGGAGAACGTTGGAAGGGTTTGTGTGGGATTTCGAGGTTTTTGGAACAATCGTAGGACCTCCATGGCCTATTCTCATGCTTCTGGAACAACGGTAAGAGTTTTTCAGTACCTCAAAAAGAAAATAATGTGAGTGGGAGAAGATGGCGGGTTATCACGTGTCCTTCCAGTGAGAGGGCTAGCTGGTAGGATGGGAGTATGGCATAGCAGCAGTGCAGATGGTGGCTCCGTTGCAGTCAGTCTTGCCGGAGTGAGGTAAAGTGGATTGATGGGGGGGTTTCTAAGTTGTTTCTGAATTTTGCTTAATCACGAAGTTGTCATAAACATGTCTGAAGCAGCTTCAATTTCTCCGAGCCAAAGCCGCGTAATGACCTTGTATCTCAATTTCCAAAATTCCATCCTTAGGCCAATTAGATTTTTCTAGTAGTTCCTTGTCTCATTTTCATGAAATTTTGTGATAAACTTTTCTGAACGTACTCGTTATGGGATGTTGGGCCCGGTTCCCATTTTGTGTCAATTTGTGAAGAAATGGTTGTATCTATGGGACGCTGGACCCGGTTTCCAGCAGGTGCTGCTCCCCACCAATAGATGAAGCTTGTTTCCAAAGGAAAAAAAAAAAAAAAAAAAAAAAAAAGGGAAAGGGAAGACTGTCAGGCAAGACAGATCCGACATAAGATCAAAGCAAGACAAGGATACACCAATACACACAAGTCCTGTACGCACGCATAATAACACTTGAAGATGAATACAACATATCACGATCAACCAGCCATGAGGCCCACCCTCGACGCGTTTCGTCTATCCCGCACATAAACTCATCAGGAGGACATATCAAAAGATGTTGCAATTCTACAGATAGGGGTCACAACAATGCCTTGCCCCTATACATAGCTATCCTATACCCAAGCTACGTGCCCTCAACACACGGGTGCAGTCGCAATCCAAGACCATCACAGCCAATCGAAAGAAGAGAACACATGAAAAGAAGAGACGAGCATCCGAAGTAACCCTAGATGTCCCAAAAACCGTCCCGAGGAGAAGGCGGGCAATCACCATGATCCCAGCTCACAGTGAAGATACCTGCAACACAGACAGACAAAAAACAAACCAACAACACAACAGAACAAGAACGGCCGCCAAGTTGAAGAAAGGCAAATGGCGTTAACGACGAAGATCCGGGAAGTACAATAGCTATCGCAGCATCCAAAACTCGTGACAGGCAGGCGATGCCATGTCGGCACCCCGGTACTGTGCGCTGGAGGGCACACAAGTTTCTGAAGACGTAAGATATCACCGTCCGCCAGAGTGCCGCCTTCACGTACGGTACAACCATGAGCACACGTTCTCAATCGAAGTGGAAGGAAAACCTTCAGGCAGTAGCGCATGTAAATACTGAAATCGTGACCGGAAGCCACACCCAAGAGGTACCTGAGCTTAGGTGTACCAAAAACTGTACGATCAGCAGAAGAACGTCAGGAGGTCAATCACGGGCAAAAAAAATGGCACAAAACAGGCGATACCAGGATGAAAAAATGGTGCACCCTGCCTGTTCTGAGGGACCAGAGCCAAAACCTCCAAACGGTATATCCTAAAAAAAACGCGTAATATACCAGGAAACGTGGCCAGGTATAGGAAACTGATCCAAGACCGAACCCCCCCCCCCGGAAGAAGTGATCCGGTACTCAGAACCAGTGTACCATACCGAAAACATCCGGTACTCAGAATCGGTGTACCATACCGAAAACATAGTATTGATGACCCATAAAAGGTCTGTTTGGCAAGAAAGCCAAACCCCTGATCACTCGCATGCCGCCACTACTTCAGTAATAGAACCACCAAATTTGGCTCCAAAACATCGAAAGGATGATGTCACCAATCGTCGTGGGTAGCCCTGCCGGATCAGTTCATGTTTCACAACCAGAAGGGCCTCATGTTGTTCCCACACATCCGAGGTAAGGTGGAAAACCCTGTGCAAGGTACTGAGAATAGCTCCAATCTTCGCTTTCTTTCTAGAAGAAGAGACATAATCCTGAAAGCAGCCAAAGGCCAGATTCTCAAACTCCTATACGGATGTTGCATTCTTGAGAATGACAACAATCCTCAAATTCACTGCATGTTTATGGATAGTCACGCGAGCAAAAGTCCAACAATGCGGGGATTCATCCGTACAAACCAGCCTGAGGACCGACCAATAACAGTGGATGAAACGCTCCAAGATATACAACGCCGCATCCCAACCCAATTCCGCATAACAGCAATGAAAACCGTCACATCATCGACAATGCGAAAGCCATCCACCAAGCGTCTTTCATTACCTAGACTGCGAAGGAATCTCCATTCCACATAGGAGCAGAGAATACAGGCTAAGGGACAACTCTAGGATTTGCCCATAGCCTGCCATAGGCACCCCCACAACCTGCCTAAGTAGAACTCCAGCTGAAAATATGAAGGTGAACTGTAAGTCAAAGCGAACCATGAGCCTAATCTGTTCCAAAGAGACAAACCTGCACTCATCCCGTGAGCCCCCAAACGATAGCCATGACCTTTTGCCCCTCTTAGCAACATTAACCCCTTTGCAACCAAGGTCTTCAAAAAGGAGACCAGCCAATCAGACGCATCAATGATATCAGAGTGTGGAAGGGAAACGAACATATCTTTAATGTCAAATGATGCAAAGAGCAAATCACAATACCCAGCCATCCTGCTGAAGCGCTGGCTCATAGCACGGAGACCCGGCTCAATCCCCATAACAGCCTTAAGGTTAAAACTAGACCGAACTGGCAGGCAACGCAAAAAGGAGGCAGTTCAAAACACTTGCCACCCGCCCACTTGCAGCTTTGGTCGGCTCCGCACAAGTAGGGGAAATCGTACGCCACCGTGAGAGGTCCTTGTGCTTAGGCAGAACATAAGCATCTCCAAAATGGCCGCCAGTGTCCCATTTCCCCAGCTTGTCCAGACATAGCCGTTCAAACTCCGAACGCATAACTGTGAGCACGGAACACACCTCCACCTCGACAGGAATAAAGGACAAATTCCAATTGAAGGCCAGATGGAGATAATGCCGGTACAGATGAGGGCAAATTACCAACGTGTCTGCCGTGTTCCAATCGATAGGGACACAAACAAAACGTTGCAGCCTCAACAACCATTTTGACAAGATTCTCGTATCCACCGATGACTATTCACAATCAGTGTCTTCCCCCTAACAATCAAGGAGGTGTTGGCGGTCCAAAACAAAGGTTGAGCGAAGATAACTACAAACTGCCACCAATTGCTTACCAAGATCAAACAACCCGTCCTCCGGGCGAACCTTTGAGTTCCTTTGAGTTCCGAAGCAAATCTGGAATGTCCGGAATGTTACCTATCCGAGTTATAACATAAAACCCTGAGCGTCCCCATCCCGGTTCTAGATGGCAATAACAAACGCAACAACCATCCCAATTAACCGCGTGGCGAAAAGTCCATAAGTAACTAGGAAGTGGTGTGTTATTACACCAAACAAACCTGACTTTTCTGACAAGTAGTCCCTGGATTGATTTGGGCAAGGCCGAAGTAGACACAATTCGTAACACAAGAGCATGAACCTTCGACGAACTAAGGCAATGATCATAGACCATTCGCACCATAATCATTCGACGAACGTCAATGCCAACCTCGCCTTTGAGAGCCCGTGCCAACACACCCCGCAACAAAACACGGGTAGAAGCACCAGAAAAACAGCGGATCGCACGATACCAACGGACTAATACATCCACAGATTTAAACTTGAGAAGTTGCCTCCTTCAAGGCGGACGCAACAGCAACGCTAAATGCCCTTTGCAAACCGCTCTGCCACTAGGTGTAAAAACAATCGATCCAAACTGAAAAACACCACCTGCCGGCAACACGTCCTTCAGATCCTTGAGAGCAAAACAAGAACCAGCGAACAAAACGTGACCGAGACCAAAACATCGTCTGACCGCACACCAAGTGTCATAGAGCCTGTGAGGTGTCGCCTCTGGTGATGCATGTGGAGTGCAGCGGAGAGAGCCTTGGGCAACCCGAAGTGCGAGTGAAGTGACTGCCCGTCATCACCGGTGTCTTCGTTTATCGCCATCATCATTTTTTCATGATCAGTACGTCGCCGTATCATCATCATCCTCATCATCCTCATCATCATCATCATCATCAGCAGCAGCAGCATCAACAGGGTGCAGCTCATCATCACCTTCATCAGGGCGTTGGGCGCCATCATCATCAGAGCGTTTGGCGCTGTTCGTCATTGAGCTGATGCTCGTCATCATCAATATCACGGTTGGTCGGTATCATCGCCAGCAGCAGCACTAACGTCATCGTGTGCGTGGGCGTCAGGGTGATGGGCATCATCATCATCAGGGCAAGGGGCGCTATTCGTCATCATCATCAGGGCAAGGGGCGTTGTTCGTCATCAAGCTGAGTTTCGTTATCAACAGCGTCAAGGGGGTGATTCGTCGTCACTATCATCCTTCATCATCATCATCATCATCATCATCATCATCTCGTTATCATCACTGTCAGGGAGCGGTTCGTCACCGCCATCCACCATCATCATCATTATCATCATCATCATCATCATCATCACCACCATCATCATCATCATCATCATCATCATCATCATCATCAAAATCGGTATCATCATCATCATCATCATCATCGTCATCATCACCATCACCAGAGCGCTGGGCGCATCATCATCAAGGGTTGTCGGGATTATCATCAGTAGGGTGCTGCTCGTCATCATCATCACCAGCAGCAGCACCAACGTTATCAACAGGAGGTGAGTTATCATCACCATCATCCTTTCGTGATCGCAGGGCGCTGGGCGTCGTCATCACCATCATCATTATCGTCATCATCATCACCATCATCCTCATCCTCATCATCATCATCATCATCACCATCATCACCATCATCATCATCATCTTCGAAATCAGTATCATCACCATCACCATCATCATCATCATCATCATCATCATCATCATCATCAATCATCTGAAAATCGTTTAGTCTCAGGGTGCCGTTTTCGGCTTCACGTACATCCCGATTAGCTACATCTTGGTTACTCATATCTAGATCACCTATATCTTGATTACCTAGATCTCGATTACTTACTTCTCGATAATACTTCCATCATCATCACTACCATCATCAATACTAATATCATCTGAAAACTTTTCGGTCTCAGGGTACCGTTTTTGGTTACCCAATTATCTAATAGCCATTAATAATTACATCCTGATGAGCTATATCTTGATTACCTATATCTAGATCACCCATATCTTGATCACCTATATCTCAATTACCTGCTTCTTGATTACATACCTCTTGATTAGTACTATTCGCAGTAGTAACATCAGACAAATATGTTCAGGTTGGGATTGCTCGGTAATTTCACTAGTAGGTTTTGCTCTGCCTGTCCCCCCGAGTGGGGTGAGGCGAATTTTCTTTATTCTGTTTTTTCACGATTTTCTTGTTCCKGRRTGGGGATTTCGAACATTGAATTTTGCAGACRTTTTWGGGGGGATAGGATTTCGGGGGTWMKGGCTGGAACTTTGGTAGGCAGGGG